AAAATTTAAAGTAAATTTTTATTTTCATTGCCACCCGATTTAATGCTAATAACAAATAAATTAAGGATCCAAGCAAATTTCAATGGATGCTTCGATGGTCACATATTATTGCTGCAATTTTTAAGGCACTCTTTGGTCTTCTTGGCTTCCTAACATTTGGTGATTTTACTCAAAAGGAAATTTCTAATTCATTACCAAATCAAACATTTAAGGTGTTTATCTTAATTTCTTTTTTCAAACAAAAAAAAAACATTTATTATTTTTAAATTTCTCTTTCCCGTCTTTTCTTCTTTTTCAAATTTTCATTTTATTTTAATTTCTTTTTTTTTCATTTTATTTTATTGTTAATTTTCAAAAAATTTATCTGAAAGTCGTACCTGAAAGTAAATGAAGCATTAATTTACATTATTTTCATGATATACAATTGCTAATATTTTTAAATTTTATTTAAATTCATTTCAATTTAAAAGAAGATATATAAATAATAGATGGATCGTTAAATATTTAACGCATTAAATATTCGCAAAAATTATAGCTTGCAATATTATATGGTATAAAATTCTTAATCTTTTCTAATTTCTTATCATTTAAATTCTTTGATAACATTTTTTGCAGGTGATAGTTAATTTAGTACTGGTTATAAAAGCACTCTTCTCATATCCATTACCGTATTTTGCTGCTGTTCATTTACTCAAGGATAATTTATTCATGGGTACGCCAAAAACACTATTTACAAGGTAAATATTATTGCAAAAAAAAAAAGGTAACTGGGAGATAGATTTCCGGTTTTCTTCAAATTTCTCTTTTATATGAAAATTGAATTATTCACTGATAAACTGGATGAATGAGATAAGGAATTGAATGAAGAAAATGAAAGGAAAAAAAAAAGAATCAATACTGATATGATTAAAATGATTGATATGATTAACTGGTTATGATTAAAATATTTGATATGATTAAATTGAAATTGATATGATATGGATAAGTATGATATTATTAACAGGTTTGATTATATTGATACTGATATGATTAAATTGATATTATTATAATCAATAGGTTTACCGGGGGGAAAAAAAAACAAAAAAACTAATCAATAATTCCTAATAAATATCATATATGTTTTAGCTGTTATGGTATTGGTCATAGTTTACGTGAATGGGCTCTTTGTTTACGAATTATTTTGGTACTTATTACCTTGATGATGGCAATGTCGGTACCATATTTAATTGAATTAATGGGACTAGTTGGTAATATTACTGGAACAATGCTAAGTTTCATTTGGCCAGCTATGTTTCATTTGAAATTAAAAGGAGCA